TACAACAACAAAGACGACAACAACAACACCATCAAAAACAACAACAACCACACCATCACACCATCAAAAACAACAACAACAACAACAACAACATTAACCTTACCACAAATAACAACAACAACAACATTAACCTTATCAAAAACAACAACCATACCATCAAAAACAACAGCCACACCATCATAAACAACAACAACAACACCATCATAAACAACTACAACAACAACAAAGACGACAAAAACAACAACACCATCAAAAACAACAACAACCACACCATCACACCATTAAAAACAACAACAACAACAGCAAAAACTACCTCATTCAATTCACCATTAAAGGTGACAGTATACGTGAAGGTTCTCTTTTTAAAGATCGGCGTCATTGATACCATCCACGACAGGTACACTGCGGAAATCATGGTGCAAACGAAATGGCGGGAAACCAGTTTGGACGGTTCAAAAATTGTCAGTTGATAAATACTGAAAAATAAAAGTTCTATTTCAAATAATTCAATCTTTAAATAATTCAATTAAATCATTTAGAAAATATTAATTAATTTTTTGAAAAGAAGTCACGGAAATCGCAATTGAAAAAGTGATTTGCATAATCTTGCTTCAAGTGTTTTATTAATATTAGCAAGGATCTTGACACAGCGATGCGATAATCTCTTTGAAGATCTAGTAAATTTAATAAATCAACGTAAATCTCATATCACGTCCCGTCCTCATCACCAACATCATCACCATTTTCAATAATCGTCATTACTATAACGTCACATATTTGTCACCATCATCATCTTCTTCGTCATCAAACATCGCATCACGCACAATCATCACATATTCATCCTCTTTCAAAGAGATTCTCGCCAACCATACGAAATGTGTATGGTGCGTGGTTGTCACGCGTATTCATATACGCTGTGTGTGTGTTTGTCATTGGTACCTCTGAAACAAGCGCAAAAGAGTTAAATTATCTTTAACCTTTAACCTTTACAAACAGCCCCCTGGCGAGATCGACCTCGGTTCTTACTGGAACCCCAAGGTAGCAATCTCGAATGGCATTGGCGATCTGAAGTACACAACGACGAATTTTGTTGAGTTTGACCAGATTGGGAGGGCCTGGGTTTACGAGAGGAGGAGAACCAATGGTCAGTTTTTTGAGTTCATGGAGCTTAACAAGTTTCCATTCGATGGGCAGGTTATCCAATTCTCTTCATTATCTTTTCTTAAGTTGTTTGTTCTTAAAATGTTAAAATTTGTTGTTGAGTGTTTGTTTTGTTGCGACCACAATGAGTAGGTATGATAGTTACACTTTTCTGCAAGATAAATATTGAAAATAGGCATAAAGAAATGTCAGACTGTCGCACGCAGAGAAAACGATAACGTAAAATACGATATTTGAAACATTTAAACAAATAACGCGATGCGCACAGAAAAATACATGCGTGCATCTACACACACACACACACACGAAATTAATAATTTCCATTCCATATTTCTTGTAGGACCTGACGGTGACGATAACATCTGAGCGTGTGGACAGCGAGTTGGAGTTCATTCAGGACGACAGTGGCGAGAGTGCGGTCAACGCAGAAGCCTTCAGTGCGGCCCAGGAATGGAAACTTCATGGCAAGGTGAACATTTGGACGAAGGTCAATGTCAAGAAGGTCAACAAGAAGAAGATGAGGTACCCCTGCTTCTGTGTCGCTGCCAAAGTGGCGAGGAGACCTCAGTTCTTCATCTACAACATCATCGTCATCATGGTACGTTAGAGATGATGGCTCTTTTTTTATTTTCCTGATTTTTGATGTAATTGATTTTTTTGGTTTTGTGTGCAGTTATCTGCCGTTTGTTGAGTGTGGAAAGTGCAAGTTTTACAACTGAATAATAACTGAGTAAGAAAATTTTTTAAATAGAAAAATTTTGAAGATTGAATTAATCTCAAATTTGTAATTGGCTGAGACGTTTAAAATTAATTTCTTGCAAAAACTTTTTCAACCATTAAATCTCAACAATCCTTCCAGTTTTCTATCTGCAGTTTGGCATTTGCAACCTTCACAGTGAAACCTGAAGCTCCAGAGTCCAGGCTGCCCTTGACCTTCTTCCTCGTCCTCACCACGGTCACCTTCAAATTCGTCGTCAACAAAAGTCTACCCAAAATATCCTACCTGACGTATCTAGTAAGTATTGATACATCAGATGGCATTGACAGCGATGGTGGTGGGTTGGTGGTGGAGACATTTTTTTGATTATTTACAATCGCAGAAGGATTGGTATAAAACTGCTGCTCATCAAATACGTCCTACATTCATCTGTTCTTTTTGCCTTTATTTTAGTTTTGGCATTGGATACAATATCAAAATCATTTGTCGTTTAAAGATATTATTTACAATGATATAATAATTTTCATAGATATAAATTACGTGTGGATGTATCAATTGCTTTGTATAAACATGCTGCTTAGAAATAATTAGTTAATGGGTTTTTCTGATAGCGTGTGCATGAACATTCTCACCTGGCGATGATTGCTACTGTAGGACAAGTACATCCTAGGCTCCATGGTTATCCTCTGCACCATTTGCATCTGGCACTCCATAGCCGGTTCATTGGTCAACAATGCAACCCAAAACACGTCAGCAACTTCGACCACGGCAGCCACTCTACCTACGACCACAAAAGCCGTTGCGGTTACTACTACATTGAGCACCTCTGTAGTCAGCTGTCCGGCCATCTCGAAGCCTCCTTCTACTCCTTTCGGCAAGACGATCGATCAATCCATCATGGGAGTCTTTGCAGTCATCTACGTCGGTTTCCACCTCTGCTTCATCTTCCTCATCATCTGCAAGGTGAGATCGTCATCATGATGATGATGGTGATGATGATGATGGTGAGGTGATGATGGTGATGATGATGGTGGGGATGATGGCGGTAATGACGATGGGGATCTGGACGATGATGGCTATCATTAAACATACGTGATAGCAATCAGTTGAATAAACCCAAACAAAATTTGATTTTTCATTGGTCAGGGAGCCGATGATGAAGTCAACGAGAGCCTGAACGTGGTGAGTATCGTGAATGGGTCGATGAATGGATCATCTAATTGACCGATTCAAAAATAACGATTATCATAACATTGGAAAAATATAAAACATTTTTGCAAAATAATTTTCAATTTGATCAACTCCAATAAACGACGCCCCGAAACAGAGCGAGGATGATGATGATGAAGATGCAGAGAAGAAGGAGTCCAGGAGCAACATGGCTATGGTTGCTCTCGGACTTTTTGGGAATGGGGACAAGGTCAGTCCTACCAGCGATTCCATGGCCAAGGCCAGTCCTCAAGGTCAAACTACTCAGCCAATCAGAAGTGGAGGCAGGCTGCAGAATGGACTGCCCCCAGTGCATGAATGATAACGATCTAATGATGATGACGAAGTGATGAAAATATATAATAATAATAATAATTATTATTATTATTATTATAATAATAATAAAGTAAAAAGAGGAAAAAGCACGAAAAGGGGTGCTAATCATGACAATTTGTTGGCATTAATGATTAATGTAAACAATTCGGTAGAGTTCATACAATACCTTATAAAATATGGTCTCCTTCCAACACATATATATATGTATATATATATATATATGTATATATATATATATATATATATTAAAAAGTTGTGATCTCACTAAAGTGACTTTATGGTGACCTCGCTTTGGTGACCTTGTTAAAGTGATTTAAATATGGTGGCAAGATTAATGGAGGTGTTTTTAATTCTTTTCCTTTTTTTATTTTTCTTTCCAAAACGTTCGTGTATACAATTTTTCACTTTTCGTTCCTTTGGTTCATTCGATCATTTTAAAAAGTATTTAACAGCAATTCCAACCATGACGAGAAGTTATTATTTTTGCAATTCAATTTTTAATTTTAACAAAAATAAGATACCACAAAAATAGCTTATAACCTTGCGTCACTTTGTGCTTTTTTATAACTTATTTTCAATTCTAATGATTATATTTTCCTCAATTTAGAATTAATAAAAGAGAATAACAAGAATTTTTTTGTGGTTTTGAATGATTGAATTTCATTGGTGTGTGTGTGTGCGCGTGTGTGTGTGCGTGTGGTGTGTGTGTGTGTGTGTGTGTGTGGGTGTGTTTTTTTAACGTTTACCGGACAAAAAAGTGTTTTTAAAAATAACCCGTGTATGAATTTACTGTCACAAAATCACCAACCTAGCAAGAGTAAAAAATAAAAAAAAATGCTGTTTTCAGCACCCAATGCTTTCTTCAGCTTACAAGCAACAAAAAACAAATCATTCAACTCAAACATCTCAGTGTACGATAAAATTGAAATAGATTTGCGAATCTCTAGTACGTGTAATTCATTTTACGGGTGTATATATGAGATCTTCCAGTTTTTCAGAAAGAGAACTAACCTCGCAAACACAGATCTCAAGCATAAAAATAAAAAACAAAAAATCATTTAAAGTGTAAGGACTTAAAATTCAAAAAAAAGATGAAAAATAAATTTTAAACTCAAAAAATATGAAAGTTTAAGAAACGGTTTGACTGGAATAATGTGTTTCTGGTGACACCTATGACCTATATCGATTTATTTTAATGACTATTCATCTGATTGAGACCCTTGAATTTTTGCATGGTATTGTTGTGCAATTAACTATAGAAGCAGTGTATATTATTCATTAATTTATTAATTTATTCATAAATTTATTAATTTATTCATAAATTTATTAATTTATTCATAAATTTATTAATTTATTCATAAATTTATTAATTTATTCATAAATTTAGTAATTTATTCATAAATTTAGTAATTTATTCATAAATTTAGTAATTTATTCATAAATTTAGTAATTTATTCATAAATTTAGTAATTTATTCATAAATTTAGTAATTTATTCATAAATTTAGTAATTTATTCATAAATTTAGTAATTTATTCATAAATTTAGTAATTTATTCATAAATTTAGTAATTTATTCATAAATTTAGTAATTTATTCATAAATTTAGTAATTTATTCATAAATTTAGTAATTTATTCATAAATTTAGTAATTTATTCATAAATTTAGTAATTTATTCATAAATTTAGTAATTTATTCATAAATTTAGTAATTTATTCATAAATTTAGTAATTTATTCATAAATTTAGTAACCGCGCAGACAATGAAAAAATTAAATATGGATGGTGAGTAGATCGACGAGACAAAGGAATGAATAATTTAAAGAATGTATAGAGGAATGAAGAAATAGATGAAGGAATGAATGAATGAGCTAGTGTGATAATGAATGAATGTGTGTTGTGCGTGGTGTGTGTGTTGTTATGTGTGGGTGAGTGTGTGTACGTGTGTACTGACTGACGAACGTATTCACTGATAAATAGCTAGTTCGTTTAATGCTGATCACTAGAAAGACATTTAAAAGCATCATCACCTTTTCAATGTTTTAAATTAGAAATTTTAAAAGTGAAATTTGCATTCGCGGCTGGTACATTCATTCACACTGCCATCATCCATCCATCCATTTATACATTTTTTCATAAAATTTGGTTTTACATCGTTTAAAACGTTCAATCTATTCTATCTCTGCTCGTTTTTGCTTTTTGCACACACACACACAAACACACTCACAAATACACACACACACACACATACCTGACACACACCGCAAACACACCACACCTCTATGCCTCCGAAGATAACTCAATAGAGAAGCTCTACAAATCTGTACAATACACACACACACACCACACACACACGCATACAAATGTGGGCACACACATCATACATATACACACACAGACAAACATATACACGCCCAGTCTGATAGTCTAAGTGAGGGTTAATATTTGTAAATATCAAGCATATACTTTCCAATGAAAAATCGTTAAGGCAGGAAGAGTAATTTCCATTATAAATATTTTCAGGGTTGTTGTTGTTTATGTTGTTGTTTGTGTTGTTGTTGTTTGTGTTGTTGTTGTTTGTGTTGTTGTTGTTTGTGTTGTTGTTGTTTGTGTTGTTGTTGTTTGTTATTTGTGTTGTTGTTTGTGTTGTTGTTGTTTGTGTTGTTGTTGTTTGTGTTTTTAAGTACTAACTAGTGATTTCAGTGTGTTCTTGTTGTTTGTTGTTGTTCTGTCTTTTGTTTCTGTATGATGGTTGTGCGTCTGGTG